CGTCCCCGGGCTGGGGGAAGGGAGGGAGGCGGCCGGGTCGGGCTCCTGTCGCCAGGGCTGTATGTCGGGACAGGGAGCACTGCCGCGGGCGGGAACGCGGGCACGGCGCGCGCAGGAACGAGACTCGGGGCCAGGACAGAAAATTAACTTTTATTGTAGTGCAGGGAGGGGGCTGTAACAGCCGTTCAAAGAGTTAACGGTCTGGGCAGTTAACGGTCACTCAACATTCAGCAGGCAAAATGCAGCCACTTTTCGTCAAGATTTAGTGTAAAAATCCACACAGAAAACGTGCCTGCTTGGGGTAGGACTAGGCACTGCTGACCTGGAGAGGTGCCGTCACAGCCGGGGATGAGGCAAAGGGAGGAAGGCAGAAGGGAGGGGAAAAAAGTAACCCTTCTGGTATGCTTGATTACAAATAAAATACTGCCAAAACCCCACAATCCCGGGGATAGTTTAGCAATAAAGAAAATACACCTTCCACCTGCTCAGTAATGACATTCAGTTTCCGTTTACGAGATAACATTTCGGTAGGGTGAAGGTGCCGCGTACAGCAGCTCCAGGCGGTACATAAGCTCTGCCCTCCAGAGGGTGAGGTACGCCTGCCATCAGCATAACTTCACATTGAGTTCATCTGTGCAAAGAAGTCACCGGGGTCTGATGAGCAGGACTTGATGCCTGCAGCTTTTTGTGACTAAATCTAAAATTAAAGTTTAGATGCATATTGTTTACTAGGTAGAAGTATAGAAATAAAAGAATTGAAGAGCTGTTGGAAAGAAGGTACAGAATGGAATTCACCTGGAAAAAGAGAACAGACCTTTTCCTGCATTGTCATAGGCTCTGCACAAGTGGAAACAGCTTTGGACATAGGTAGTAGCTTGTCATAGTTGTCTGCGCTGAAAGTAAATGAGCTTAAGCTAACTTAATTTTATGCTACTATTTTAATATTCATGACATCTTAACACAAAGAATTTTAAAATTCTGTGAGAGGACTCTACAATTAAGATTTGACAAAGCTGCAGATTAGCAGGGAACTCCAGCCACTTCTTTGCCTAGTAATATGACAGCTATTTTGTTAGACCTGAGAAAAGAGTTGAGAAAGGCCTGGGCTGATGCTCCTAGTACATCACAGGGAACAAAACTGAAGCATTTCAAATTTTTCTTTACATGAGCACAAGCACAGGTATGATGCTTTGATGGCACATGCACTACTTTAAGGCTGAAGGTCATCACAGCACCTCTGATGAGAAATGCCATGGCCATGTAACGTGAAACACATTTGTACTTAAGAGAACAAAATATTCACAAATTAGGCCACCAAACTGATCAAATGTTATATCTGGGAAAAATTATCATCGCCAGTAGAAGTAAACTTACAGAAACCTGTCTGAGGAACTTCTTTTTCTAGCAGTCACTGTCATCAACTCAAAGCGATTCATATAGATTTGAGTACACTCAGAATTCTGGTCTTTAGCATAGGCTTGTCTAATATGAAGAGGATAACCACCCATGATCTGGAATAAATAGAAATTGAAGGCTTAGGTACCAAACATAAGTAGTCGCAAGTGCCCTGTCTCAAAAATTTTTGTTTACAATAGTCTTGACTGAACACAATTCATATACTGCCACTTTAATAGAAGTTAAGAAAAACAGCTCCCCTTCCTTATTTTTAATATACTGATAGCGCAAAGTAATAATACATCTAAGGTCAAATCATTGTCACAACACTGGGGAAATCCATTTTCTTCAGTGTACGGAAACTATAATAAATATAACCTATAGTAGTCATACTGACAAGGAAGATATTTATTAGCATTTGCTTGTATACCAAGCTATTCAAAATTCTAAAATACAGTTATGATCTTGCTTACTAAACACTCATGTAGTCCACTAATAGCAATAAGGAATTAAAAAAACCCAAAACAAAAAATCCCCAAGTCTTCACAATGTAATGCACATTTCAACTTAAACTCACCTTTCCTTCTGGACCTGCAAATGCTTTTATGTAATGATTCTGGCATTGCTTTGGGGAGCGATAAACATAGTTACAAGAGTTAACGACATCGCTGACAAAGTCCCAGTTTGCTGTCTGTGCTGGTGAGACAATAGCAAGGTTTAAAGGAAGTGCCCGTAACTGTTTCACCGCCTAGGACGCAGAGAGAAATTAAACCAATAATATTTCAATTAAATGCTTTTCTTGTGTGCACAAACATGTATAATCCTGTATAATCAAGGTCTATGGATGCTGTAATAAACTTCCAAGTAAAAAGGTTTTGAAGTCAATAAAAATGAAGTACCAACTTACTTTTAACAGTGCCAAGTCTTCAGCAACTAGCCATGCAGGACTGTCTTGCCCAGCGTCAGCAGCTGACTTGATGAGAGCTGACAAAGGTCTTGCAGAATAGGTTTTCTGCTTTACCCAAAGGAGGGTCTTCTGAGCTTTGCCCTTCTGTCGTGTTTTCAATATTCTTGGAGTCACTTGATTGAAAAGTGAAGGTGGAGGAACAATCATCCTTCTATGGCAATGCTTCTTTCTCTCACCTGAAGCTAATTGACAGGACAAAGTTATTTTCTCCAGTGAGAAACAAACTTTGTGCAACAAGATCATGATAGAAAACCAATTGCTGCAAATCATCTGACCAATGATAAGCCTTTTGCAGTACTTTTCTGAATGCACGTACCTTCAACCTATGGTCCCCAGTACAATATTTGACTTGGTCAGTCGTTTTTAAATAGCTTCTCGCTTCACTGAGAGAATAAGCTTAAAAACAGATCAAATGGATGCAGAGGAGTCTCACTGCTTTAGTCCTGCTCATTTAATTCACCCATATTTCTAATTCGTAAGGACAATAGCAAGTTTTCACAGTGCACTCCCTCTGCTCTCACTCTACATTCAATCATTTTGAGCGACTTCAAGCCTAACAGAGAGAACGGTACATGCAACGCCTAAATCTTTAAACACAATCTTAAAGATACTCTTCTGAAAGAGTTTTCGTATTGTTTCACACAAAAACATTACTGCACCTTCCCAATGCAATTTTGAATCCAACTTACATGACAGATCTGTTCTCGGTCGCTTACGCAACCTCCTCACAAAGAGGTGGAAGCTTAGATTCTGGAATCGGGGTACTAGTGTACGTCAGGCACATAACTGAATCAGTGTAGACATCATCGTGATTTTCGGGTACAACAGGGGGAGTCCAAAGCTTAAAAAAAAAACCCAAAACAACAACAAAAAAACCAGCCCAACGCAAAACATCATCAATAACAAACAACCCATAGTTTGCTATTAAGTATTTTAGGTAAGGTTTCCTTCAGATGAAATAAGGGCTCCTGACTTACGGGCATTATTTCTATTTCTCCATCTGGGCCTTCACAGACAAATTCCTGTGTGAGAAACAAGGAATTTTTGATACCTCAATACAACATCCAGCCCAAAATCCAGCATTTAGAAACATGAGCATGTTTGCGATAACTATAATAAAAAAATAGTTAGAAAAAAATATATTTTAAGGAATTAATCTGAAGTTTCAAAAGGCAGCATATTTTTCCTCAGTCTCTTCCTTCAGTTATTATTACTTTGATACATAACTGTGCAATTCCAAGTCAACCTACAAACCAACAGCCCTCCTGCTAAAAGAGCAGCCTACTATTCTACAGACTTAAAACTGTCCAGATCGACAGCTACAGTTTCAAGAGCACAATACTTGTGCACAGGTACAAAAGCAGTGTAGTATGAACCCAACAGACATCTGTAAATACATAGTTCATAGTCACAATACGCAAATTCTTTGAAAAGTGGGGACTTGGAGATCCCTCGATGTTACCGTGTTATAAGCATCTTCTCTGGTATAGGTTAAGAGTTCCTCTTTCAAAATGAAGTTTTTCTTCTACCTTTTCCAGCTCCTTGGCATGCTGATATTCCCATTTTGTATTTGCAGTTCTTAACTCCTTTCAGGAAGAAAATTTTTACACTTTAAAATATTACTGCTTTTCACAATAAATATGCTAACAGTAGTAAATTGTCACAGATTTGAGGCTGGTAACTACATAATAAATTAACTTTTTACAGGCTAACAGTCATACCAAAGTTAGTTAAACTGAGATTTCATTCTTGGGTAAGGCCCTCATGCCAGTAAAGAGAAAGGGAAATATGTCTACCTGTTAGTTAGGAACCAGTGTGTTTTTAGATCACAATCATTTGAGCAACATTTCAGTGCTTATACACAAAAAACAAACAGAAGACCCAAATGAAACAAACAAAAAAGAAAATCTGACAACAGTTGTAGTTTTCTGTTTTGTTTTTATTAATTACTCAGAAAATGAAATACAGTCGCTTACCTTGTTGACTTTCTGGCTTTTTTGAACATTCAAAGTATGAAACAATTCCAAGAAATTCAATGCATACTTTTCAATTGGCTTAAGCTGTTCAGAAAAAACATTTTTACACACTGCTAGTTATTTAGCTTCTGAATTAGAAACACCTAAATAACCAGTGATTTAAAACCAAGCAGAAAAAAACTCCAACCAATAAATGTATTTATTTCAGTTGCAAATAATGGCACCATCATTACAGTAGAAAAGAGATCTAAGGACCAAAAATCTGACATTTTGGTCCGTAGCTAGTCTGCTCACATCCCACCAGTATCCCTGAGAATAGGCTCCAACAACTGGCTTCCATTTTCCTAACTGGAAAAAAAGAGAATCCCACCCAAGTTATTATGCACACTCTTGAGTGGTTGTTAGTAAGCAGGCTGCTACTTGGGTTCTGCACAAGTAACCAAAGGGAAAAGGAGACAATCAGAACCTGACAGAACTTAGGTAATGCTAAGAATAGTCATTTCAGGGTTAAGAAACAGATCCAAGGCCTTTAAAAAAAAAAAAAAAAAAAAAAAAAAAAAAAAGAGACAAGTATCTGGCAAAAGCACAGGACTGTAGAAACAGTTTTATATCACAAGATACAATTTAGTCCAATGCACTTCACAATCCTCAGGAGAACATTTGGTGACTTTAATGTTTCAGACATATCTATCAACAAGCTCAGATTACCTCCCAGAACTGTTTCAATATTTAAGTTTGCACAGAACAATTTCATGTAAACGGAGTGGAAATAAGGTACTTTATGAAAGCCATTTGATTGTTGCACAGAAAAGTAAATTTCAGATATTTGTAAAAGTTTACATAAAACAAGAGAAATCATCGTACCTGATCCACATAGCTAGCCAGCTGTTCTAACTGTGACGGAACAATGGTATTTCTTGAATCATGCAACTCTGAATCTATGTCATCTCTTATCTCAGATCGTGTCTCTTCTGTAAACCTTCTGGAATCCTCTTTTCCATATTCAGAGCAAAGAACCTTATGGAAACATGTTTTTAAGTACTCGATAAGACAATGTATGATGTTTTTTAACCATCCTGAAATTGAGTTTAGAAAAGTCAGACTACAGACATATTTGACACCTTTTGCTGCAAGAGATGTTTTTGTTTGATTAAAACAATGCCAAAAATAGTGTAAAATTATCATTGGAACAAACACAGTTTTCTTTCTAGATATTTTTATCTTTTGATTTTCTGTATGAGCTAACAATTCAGGATTTTTACTGATTTTAACTGTGATCACATACCACTAGCCCCCAAACAAGTCTGGAAATAAATATAAAACTAGATGATGTTTAAAATTCTGACTCTGATCTCATAAAGCCCCCTTTTTTAACATATTGTTAAAGAATTGCTTGCATTCTTAATGTTACTGTACCTGAGTTAAAAAGTCTGTTGAATAATCATCTCCCTGAGCAGCCATTGCTTGAATCAAATGTTTAATACCGTTTTTGAACAGCCTCTCTTCTACAGAATTACCACTTATAAGCCTGTAAAACAAAGAAACTCATTACTGCTCTCTAGAAAACAGTGACACTTTCTGAAACTCAATAGTTTCATGTCTAACATTCCTCGCCTACAGCAGTGAGCACCCACACTCATTTAGAGTCCATCAGGTATTTATTTGCATAGGAAGTTTTGTATTTGTTTTTTAGTTTCTTAGAGGAAAGTTTTCTTTTTACATCTGATTTCATATTTTCAAAACACTAGGTTCTTTTAAGTTCTTATTTTCAAAATAAACAATAAACAGTATTGTCTTCTATACAATTGGATTTTTTAAAAAATCCTTACACTAGCAGGGTATTTGCTAACAGACACCACCCATGCATGCCTGGCCAGTGGTGCAAGGTGAGCAAGAGCTCCCCTCTGCTCTCAGCACGTCCTTCCAGGAAAAGAAACAGTCACTTGAGAGGAGCTTTCAAATACATCCTAGAACTACATGAACATCAGCATCTCATCGCTGGTGGATTTGAAATCCAATGGTAGACCACCACGACAGACATTTATAGTTTATCAAGAGCAGAAAACACCCACAGATATTAATGTTCCTTTTGACTGTCCGAACACAGAAATCCAGATGGCTTACAAGATGAAAGTGGGAAGGAAAGACAGAAATAGAAGGTACAGTAAGGGAGAGGACAGGACTGGGTTTTCATTTTCCCTTTAGTCTGAAGGGAAGATGTCTGACTGATCCAATCTTTAAAGGGATCTGAAAAGACCAAATAACTTAAAGAACGACCTCAACCAAAAAATCCTAGTTTCACCTAAAAATATCTTCCCTCTATTTTTGATTTTAAAACAGCTATACTATTTCTTAGCATAAAAGTCACCTGTATATGTGAATATCTCTGCCTCTTGCAATTTTATCACACCATTCTTTAGCCTTTGTACCCATCCGTGGATCTAAATCAGTGTCATAGAAGACAACAGAATCCACATCTATATGGCTGACACCTGTGGAAGGAGTGTGGGAAGAAAGAATAGCGCAGAAGAATCGCTTGTCTTGGTTGAAGTTTTTTATGGATTCCTAAAATGAGGACACAAGTAACTTAATTACAAAGTCACACTAATGAAGCATAAATCTCTAAACAAACTTTTTTACAGAATGAGAACATGAGAAAAATTGCTTTCCTATTACTTCCCCAACCTACATGAAGCATGCAAACGTTTTAAGTTATCTGACTGCCCACATTACAGATCTACACAATTCAAAATTAATTTGTATACCATTAAAACTATTAATTTATGGTGCAGTCACCCATTCAGATAAAAATCTAAAGATCTATTACAATAGTCACATTATGTCCTATGACTAAGCACGCCTGGCTGGGTTATTACATTCTGTGCGTGCTTCATCATTTTTCTTGTCTATTGACTAAATCGGATCCCTTCTATTGTGCTGCCTTGTGTTGCTTTAAGGCGAAGTATTCCTTTATGTTTTATACTGCATCTGACAGCATAACAATGCAATTTGAAATAAAAAATAAGAAAAGAATAACTTAACTATATTGTTAATGTTTGCTCAAATTGTAGGCCCCAGAGGATACTGAGAATCTTACTGGGGAGGGAAACGAGCATACCTTCAATTTATCCTCAGGCAATGCCAGGGCACTCTACAAAAAAACAAAAGCCCCTGGAGTAAGGCTGAGGAAGTGCCAACACAAAACCAGCAACTACAAAGTACTAACAACGTAGATAGCTACAGATAATGAAAGCAAAAACAATTAAGCAAAACGCTATTGTGAAATAAAACGTCTGTATTTCAAGTACAAATTACTCATAAATATAAGACAACTAGTGGCATACCTCTTGGAAACGCCCTGGATGCCTCATCAAATAATAATATGACTGACATATTTCATATATAATTACATATTTTGTGCTATAGCTACATAAATAATTTGCTTAAATAACTAAACTATGCAAATGAATTCTGCAAATGTATTAGACTTTCCTTTAGATTTTCCCTCCCACTATGAGCATTTATTCCCTATTAACTTGAGTAAGAGGTCCTCTTACCAGATAATGCCAACTGTGAGCACCGCTCTCGTTAACTCTTACGTACGTGAGAAAATGGAAGTTCAAGAAAAGCTCCAGGATATCAAGCATTGGAATCATCTGTGTCAAAATCAACACACGGTGTTGTCTTGCTTTCAGCTCCTGGAGCAAAACAGCCAGAGCTTCCATCTTGCCTGTTTATGAAATAAGAACTTAAAGGTTCTGCAGGTAGCATTCAACAATTAGAGAAAGAACGTTAACAAGTGGTGGGGTTTTTTAATACCTGAATCACGCTGCACCAGTCGGGGATCTGGAAACTGTAGAAAGTGAGGTCTTGCTATCTGCTGCATTGAATGGAAGTAGGGAAGTATCTGTTCCTTTAGATTAAACTTCAAGACTTTCATTTCATGGATGTATGTATAAGGAGGATTTGCTACATACAAATATGGAGGAGCAACAGCTACAGCTGGCAATGTGCGCAGATCTCTATTAAACAAACCAAAAATTTAATATACTATTTTTTAATAGCTTGGGCTATTAACTACTCAAAAACAATAACAAAGAAGATCCCTGCATGGAAGCATAAAGGACCTGGCTAAAGGTAAATTGAAAGTAAATCAGTAGATGAAGTTTCATGTTAACATCAAGTGAATGCAAAACCACTCAAGATCAGAACAAGACAAGAGGAAATTAAAAGGCTCTGTAAAGTTACCCAGATAAGCTGACTTACAACTCCTACTGTTTTTGTAAGTATGCACACAAAAACCACAAGATATGTCAAAATAAAGTAAAATTGCTATGTAACTAATAACTGCCATGACTATTAAGAGTTTTAAAATCTTAGAATGATCTAAAATTATACCTCAGGGATGCAGATAGATTCTACATAAAGGAATTTAGCCTGCAATAAGGATAAGCCAAGGCCACTCATTTATCACTTTTAGCATTTTACAGTACTTTACATAAATACCCTGTTTGGAATGGTAGTATACACCCATCAAATTTGTGTGCAAAGACTGCAAATGGATTTGTTTCAATTACCTAGTAACAACATCCTTCAGGGTGATCTGTTGCTGCCTCAGTGTCAGAATGAGTTCTTGCAATGGAACTTTTAGAACCTCTGAAGTACTTGAATATGGAAGGCAATTTGCAAAGCCGGCCCAGCGCCATTTGTTAATCCTGGCAGAACAATGCTGAGAGATTTTTCTTTCACTGATCCAAGAGCAAATTTCCAACAAGTCTCTGCCATACAGGGGGGTTCTGGCACATCGACGCTCATTCCCACAATATATTTTGTCCAGGTGTTCCTTTAGTTGTCTTTTTTCTTCTAAGATACCCTTTAAATTCAAAATTCTTTTCTGAATATATTTTGGCCAGATAAAGGTTATGCAAAAAAAGAAATTTATGCAAAAGAAAGTTGAAAATAAGGATAATTTAGTTAATGTGATAGTTCTATGACTGATTATGAAAGGAGAAGTGAGCAGGAGACAAGCTGACAATCAGAATAGTATTTATTATACAAGAACAGATGATAGGTTTGGTATTTCAGTGAAAAATAAATCTGCTTTCCTACTTTATGCCTATTAGCGTGGGACTTTCAAACTACCACTGGAGAGTCCACTAGTACAGATGAATGAGACTAGTTGATTACAATAGTCTACATGATTTAAAAATTAAAGCTTTGACTCTTTCAGTGAACAGATATGCACACATGAATCTTGTAAACTGTACATTGTTCATGATCAAGTATATACTATACTATATAAAGAGTTAGCGTAGTACCTGAGATGGACAGGAAAGTGTAGATACTGATTTAGATTCAGTGCTCAAGTCATCCACTGTCACATTAATAAATTCAAATTTCCAAGAAAGCAGCAAGACAAGAAAAAGATTTTCATGAAGAAAAACAATTTAATTTCACAGACACATGATATTACAATATAGAGATATTGTAGCTTCTAGAATTTAAATTTCTGAATTGTTAAAAAAATGGAAAAACTAAAAAAAATTGAGATCAAGGTTATTAATGAGCTTCATTAAAGGTCCATGCTCCTCAAGGAAGAAACAAATCTAAAGACAGGCAAAATATTCATTCTGCTAAAAAAAAAAAAAATGCAAATAGAATTATGTAGCACCTTACCTTGATGCTTCAGAGACTGTCCACCAATAAGCCGACAGAATTGACTGTAAGACAAAGTAAATGTTTTCCCTCTAAACTGTAATGTTACAGGCTTCTCTGGCTGAGCAATTCTCACTTGTGCTCCAGCTGTGGAAGCCATTGGGCCAAGTGCTACCTTGCTGGCTGTTAAGACAAAAAGCATACAAGGTTTAAAAGTAAGAATTTCCTCCCTGTATGCTGCAGGATTTGAATGCTTATCCCATGCATATAGTGTGTCATATTTCCAATGAAGGGCAGTTTTACTCCAGACATAACTCTTAGGTTGCGCTCAACTGCAAACAGACTAGGTCTCCCTCTAATACCCTGTGTTCATAAACTACACATGACATGTTCTTCCCCTCAGTACCACTGGTAGACTTAAAAAGGATGATTTCCTAGATAGAGTTTGACTGGTATTTCATGTGTGTACTCACTGGATTTGACAACGTACAAACTTTGCAAGGGCTTCAAGAGTCTGCACAGGTATATTTTAAGCAGTTTTGGGGGAAAACAAGCACAGAGTAAGAGATCTTTTCCTGCACAATTCATTTTTAGCAACAAAAGAAGTTCTTAGAACAGTTAACACCACAAAAGAATAATTATCAGATATAATTTTCAGTCTCCGTTCATAGTGAATGCTTCCCACTCAACCATGCAAAAACTTACATTGTACCCAGCTGAAATCAATATGTACAGAATTTAAAAAAGGCCTGAAAAAGAGTGTCTTTGAAATACTGCACTACATCCTCAATCATATAAAAAAGACCCAGTTAATAATGACCTTTAATAGTGGCTCAGCAGAGACATGGTGAATGGGACAGTGATGATGCCTAAATCTGATCAGTCAGTCAAGACCGACACGTGTGAAAGGCTGCCTCGCACGCTGCAGGTCAGGACTGAAGAGAGAGTTTCATTAAGATAGTATACCTAGAGACCAGCACAACTGCCAGCAAGAATTCCAGTGTTTGCACAATAGTATCATTCTGTTTATAAAAGACAGACAGATAATAAGGAATTTTGTTTTGATTTTTTGAGCAAATTCACGTTAGAAAACTGCTAATGGAACTTGATATTCAAGTATGTAATGCACGAACACATTCAGTACAACCCCATTTCTTCCCCAAATTCAAGCAATATATTAAAAAAAACCCACTCAGCAAACCAGAAAGCAATGATTTATTACTGTATGTACAACACACCTTTCCTACGCTGATACTCTGAAAACATCACAACGGGTTGTCGTCTTTGTATTTTCTCATGATGATCTGCCACAATTGTTGCTGTGTCCACTGTTTGCTGCAACTGAGACCTTGAGAAGTCTCTAGTCCTACCTTCGGGTTTCTGTCCATACTGCACTGGGGTAAATAACCTAAAAATTAACAAATCATCTTTCTACATGTAAAAAAAAAAAACAACCATACATGAGGAAGTTGTTAGTCCCTTCTTCCTAATACAAAACCAAGTTAAAAGGTAAATATTTATTTTTAGTCAGTAATCTGAGCTAGAAGAGGTACCCAGCTGCAAAGCATACGGCAGGAGAGATTCTGCTTCTCTCAACATGCAGAGGAAACACAATATACTGTAAAACACAAAGTACACCAAATATTCTGAGGCTCCAGTCTTCTCTGAAAGATCATGTGAAGGGCTACAAGCAGGACAGATCTCCCATACTCCTTAATCATCTTTGGAGTCTGGAGACAGCAAGAAAACTCCCCAAAAGATGCTAATAAGGATCAAAGTTCTTAACGGAGCAGAGTCTTCACTATAGCTAGCTGCAATGTAAGTACAAAAAGCAGGGGATCTCTACTTCCATGCAGCTTCAGGCAGTCTGGTTTAAAAAACATACAGCAATTGTAAAAGCTGACTTCACAATAACTGTTTCATGTGTACTACTTCAGGGAAACTAAAGCTGTCTAAACAGCAAAAGAACGAGTTCTTTTTCTGCTTTATATATATATTTTAGCTATTGCTTCCAATTCTTAAATTTTATTAAATGACAAAGGTCCCTTCTGGCAGAACTGCCTGATAGAACTAGTTAACAACCTTCTTGTCACCTGTTACACAAGCTGTCTGGGGCTTCAGTAGCCATACTCTGCTTTTATCAGATTAAGGTATCGTAAAATGTTTATGTATACGTTGCTCTGATGTAGTCTACAGCAGAATTACTTTCTCTCCAAGACTCAAAAAATGAACCCTCCCAACTGCTCTTCAGAGAGCAGAGTGAATAGCAAAAACAAAAGGTCAAAATTTAACAGAGCACTTTTTTTTCTCCATCCCCCCACCCCAAGATTTCTTTAAGTGCTTTCAAGCACATCTCAGACTTAATTTTAAGTAGTAGGAGAAGATTTAATCATTCTCCTTAGGAAACTACTGCAGAAGGCACTTCCACTGCTTGATCAAAAACACAGACTCCTGCCAAACTCAACAGAGTTGGAAAGATCACAACTGAGCCTTCATAAATGAAAAGAACTATTAAGTGGTAAAAAAGCAGTCTGCGTGACCTCAGAAGACTGGCATACAGTCTTTAGCAGGGATCAATTTGGAAACAAAAGATAAGAAAAAGAAAAACAAATGCTTCTGAATTAATCCTCTGGGCCCTCACAAATATTACTGATTTTCACTTGTTACTTAAAATAAATCAATCAGTCAACTGGAACACTGCGTACCTATTGGGTTTGAGCTTCACTGGCTCAAGTCTGTGTGACGAAGGAGAACAGTAGATATCTTCAATAAGCTTCCTAGTTACCTTCATTTTTGGCAGTATTTGTGCTTCGTAGCATGTCATTTGGTTTTCCATCCCAATCACATCAAAGAGAGACCAGTCTGCATGCTTAAGTTATAAAACAAAAAACCAAACAAACAAACCCCAACCTAAAGAAATATTCTACTACCACTCAGTTGCAGTAAAAAAAAAAAGTAGTAATAATACCATATTATCTGAGAATGATTAAAAAGCTCACAGCTGATGCCTGAATTAAACCAAAACATGGAAGAGCCACCTGTCATGTGATTTTGCAGAGAGCAGCTGCCGTTACTTAAAAAGGTTTCAGCAACCTACACCATGAAAATAGAGCATTATGCTCGTGTTACCAAAAGCCATAAACAAGACAGCACCCTCAAATTACAAGCTCTGTGGTTAATTCAATGCTTATAATTAAAACATTTGCCTTAGTAGAACTGGCATTCCAGACACATCCATTCCCACCTTGACACACGAACTCTATTTCCTCCACAAGCCTTTGATACTCATCCTGTCCCCCCGCCCCAAAATTATTTTTTCCAACAGGCTTTAAGAAGCACCTACTTGAATTTCCCAGGACATATACTGCTACTGTTTTAGCATTGTCCAGTCTTAAAGCCTCTAGTATTGCTGAAATCACTAAAGAAATGGATGAAATCCTTTGCAATATAACTTTAATGAACAGACTACAGTTAAAACTGAACCATGGAATCCGATACAGCTTCTCATCTCCAGAGCTGTACACAGCTTAACCGTGCCCTTACTACACCTCAGGGCAGGACAAGACTGGCACCTTTCCCTGAATTCCAAGGCCCATTAGTTTAGGTTAATTGGGAACTTTAAGCAAAACCAGAAAACGTTGCAAAATAGCCTGACCTTCTCTGACAAAGACAGCAAATTCCCAGCATACCTACTAAATTCAGTACTACCATAAAGTCAATTGTTATTATTTATAGTCTTAGCAGTTGCTTCTAAAAATAAATGAATTAGCAATTCAGATTTTGAAATTTAATTGGAACCTGAATTATGTGTAAGAAATTTTATGTCCTATGCCACCTGCTCTCCCCGTCAAATCAAGTCAAGCACAAGAGAATTACTTCACTACTCACCTTCCAAATATCCCATCCTAACGCATTCAGCACTACAGAAGCGGTGGTAAACTCCAGCGTGTCTAACACAAAGGAAGAACGTGGAAGCCGGGGACTTATCAGATCAGGATGGTTACACACTCTTAGCAGCTGTGTCAAAACATGGAGGACACTGGCAAAGTCCCCACTTCTAAGATATTCTTGAGTTCTGTTATTTAAAATGAAAATATAATTTATCTATAAAAACCAGTGCTTTTTAGGAGCTTAGGTCTTTCTGCATAGTCCAATTGTTTTTCTGAGTAAATCTGCTAACACTAATATATCTAACTTAGAAAAGTATGAGTTTAAAAACGCAGTCTTCCATTCCTCCAGCTTCTCTCACATTCACACAAACTTTTATTAACTTACAGAATATATTCTGATTTTAAACCCCATATTATCATAAACCTGAATTTCTCAAATAGCCACTCTATTTTAAATGAAAATGACATTGGATAATATATGAAACACATATTGTCAATATTAAGGCTGTATTTTTAATGCCTGAGTAAATACCACTTTAAATTATCAAATTCACTGGAAAATACAAAGTAGACACATCAGAAAAGCAAAGTAAAATACAACTTAGGATATTCAGTTCCTACATAACTTAAGAACTAAATTTAAATAAAAACTGTGACACACACTCAATTGTCTAAGTTATAAATATAGAATACTGTATTTTGTCCCATAATCTGCAAATACTGTTTACTTGTGCTTCCTTTCACCTTGCAGAACAATTACATATAAAAAAAAAAAAAACCAAACACAGAGAGAAGAAATTGCTGAATACAATTACCACTTAAAAGTAGAACATGATTAGTCTGCACAGCACTATGGTTATGCCCTGTGCTTTAATCTATAGGTTTGCCCATGACTCACTTAGAAATAACATATTAGCAAACAAGCTCTCTTACTGTAACTGGAATAGTTCCTAACCTTAACGATGAACGAACAATTAAGAACTACTTAACACATGTACCTTGGTTGAGACAAGATGTTTTTATACATTGACTTCTGTCGATTAGAAAGTGTACATGTCAGCACGTGCTCGTACTTCCTTGGTAACTGCTTCTCAACATGAATTTTGGACCTCTGCAAAATAAATGACTGCACTACCTAAAAGAAAACAAAACAATAACTTCCTAATTTTTATTTCCTCAGAGAAAGAGATACTAGTATTAAGACGCTATCCTCAAGGGAGACCTACTCTCTGCAGCCTCACTGCGAGACTCTGGTAATGATCTTCATTCCCCTTCACAGATGCTACCTTCGTAAAATCCAAACAGGATTGGGAAATCCCTGGAACCAGGAAACGGACAATGGCCCACAGATCTTTTAAGGCCGTAGGCAGAAGGGTATCCATCAAGAGTAAACGATGATGACTGTGAACGATGAAGTTAACAATTAAGATAAGATCTTAAACTTAAATTACATCACAGCACGAAAATTTAAAACACCTGCAGTTATGAGCGCTGAAGTTATTTCAGAAAGTAGCTGACAGACAAAAGCAAAAAGAAAATTTTTAATGAATGCTCCAGACCTCCGGAAATTGAATATTTCATCCCAGCGCTTCTCTGTCAGATTATGACCGTTCTGCCTCTCATCTAAAACTAGGTACCTCCATTGTACTTTCATGAAGGCATCATAGTCTTTAAAGAATTGCTTGCAGGAGACAATACATACATTAAAGTTGTTGGGGTCAGTCCATTCCTGCAACATAAAAACACGAAAATCCTAAAGGCTTTTTCGATGGATTTCAGAGCAAAGATTATTCTTTCCTCTTCTGGGATTAAAATAGATTATCTTGCACTTTATCCCAGTGCAGTTCTTCAAAACTTTCAAAATCCCAAAAGGGAAGCAACTGCTCAATTTAACTCCCTGGTTGTGATGTTCAAAACATTACATAAAATATCTTTAACAGAAATGGCTTTTTTAAAGAAGAAAAAAAAAAATTCCCACAAAACAGAGCAGACAGTCTCCTGGCCATCCAAAAACAATTGGCTTTCATTGCCATCTTTCCTTATGTGTTTTTAAATTGTTCCTTGAAGAGTTTGGACACGGTTCAGAATACCTATTCTTGTTACAGGTTATCAATAGTATTCATATTTAGTAGATAAATTCTAATGTCTAAGATTCACGTGTCAAATCTTTAAGTAAATTCTATCCTGGAAGTATCAAAATTATTATTGACTTGATCACAGAAGCTGTCAAACGTGTAAATTAACATCCCAATATTTGCTTTCAAAGGCAAATAAAAACTTAGAAACACAAGACACAAAGTTAAAATTGCAAGAATGAAAAGTCACAGAAAAAGGAATAAAAATGCTAAAAGCTATGGCAATTTCGGTAATTTTCTTCTGCTCTACTCAGGTCACAAGGCAAGAATAAGTTACAACATGATTTATATACCCAATTCTACAAACATAAGAGAATTGAAAAATTGCTAGTAAATCTAAGATACATAGTCATGAAGGAAACATGGAAAGAAATTGAAAAGTAACTAGAAAAGACACATAATCCTAAAAGGAGGGCTAAAATTTACATGCTGTAAAAGCATTAATGGAGGAACACAAGAAGTTCCTTGTAACTATGGAAGCTGAAAATATAACAATTACAGGGGGGAAGGAAGAAACTATTTTGCAAATAAGTTTAGTGAAGTTTTGAAGCCTGAAATCACATGCATGGCTTCTAAGCTACAAAATAGACACCAAACTTCTTGTAGCTTGGTCTGGATTACACATCAATCAATTTCTCATCCAAAAAATGGCTAAATTCAACATATTTTCTTAATAAACTTCTTCAAATACTAACATGAGGTACAAGTCACTGGAGCAAAGATGCAAGTTTTCTGTACTAGTCAAAAATTTCTGTGCCAAGGGACATCATGCCAGTAAGTACATACACACGACTTCAAAAAGGCGAGCCAAATATTGCTGGTCATCAAAACAGATTTTATTGGTAAATATCAAACTCTGCTTATGAACCAGCATTCATGAATTGAGGAAATATCTTCATTATTCCAGTATGCCACATAACAAAAGAGAAAAGAACTAGGTTGTTGTATCACTGTACTGGAGTTTTTAACCACAATGGTATAAACGTGATTCTGGCTGATATTTTCAGTGTAATGCTTCTGTGACCCAGTACATATGTAGATGAAACAGTGTTCCATAATACCTGTCTTTTTTTAAAAAGTTCTCCTGGGTTCCCAAGATACAGAAGAATTTTCAAAGCAGGGCACCAGCATTTCAGTTCAATCTCCCACTTGAGCACATTAAAGTTTTGTGAAACAACAAGAATAGGACCCCAGTTACCTACAGAGATAAAAGGTACAGCAAGACAGGAAATGACTGCATATCACTTCAGAACTTACAGAAAAGGCAACTGTGTATACACAAACAACATACACATGCACTAACACTCAATGAGAGGAATTGTGTCTGCTTTTCTATAAAATTTATTCCAGGTACATTACTTTAAATTATAATTACTAAAAGCAATCCTCTTTTTCTTTTTTCCCCCTCTTACTGAAAACACATTCACTAATGAATTGCTAAAAATATAGATTTATAAAATAAAAGGTCTAAAATACTTCATACCTTCATTACATGCTAGGTGTGCAAAAAAAGCAACAACTTGCACTGTTTTTCCAAGTCCAGCTTCATCAGCCAAAATGCCATTGAGATTCATCTTATACAGCTTTGCCAACCACTCCAGTCCAGTCTTCTGATACTCTCTAAGAGTGCCGCAGAATAAAGGCGGAGTATCACTTTTTACTACTGTTGTGATTTGAGCACTGCCTTTAGGTAACAACGCTTCTGCAGCAGCAGCAATGTCTGCTAAATCTCCCATGTATTTATTTACAGTAGATGTGAGAAGATCTGGAAGCACCACCTCCTTCTGAAGGCTCTCTTTCTTATTCAAAGAGTCTCTTATTTCTGCACAAAATAATAAAAATCACGGTGCTGCCATATCTAAGATGAATAATTCATTAACAGATTTGATGCCATTTACAGCTAAGTCAGGGTCTAAAGAACACAAGAATTCTACACTAGAAAGAGAAAGGACATATTTATGACTCAAAACTAAAAATAAAATACTAGTTCCTAAACATTTATTTTTGGTAAGCTTATACTACTAGTAGTATGCCAAAAAAAAAAAAAGTTATGAAAAAAAAAAAGTCCTAGGTTCTTATTACCTTTTTTTGAGATGTTCTGTGAGTTTAATGCTTTTTTCCTCCTCTCTTCTAACTCTACTTGCAGTTTTAAATCTACCACCTAAAATGGAGAGAGAGTGGGGGGGAAATGAGCAGAAGGAAGTGACAAACATGAATGCACTTAGCTTCAAATACAGTTATGAATTACTTAACATCCCTGCAACAGTAGGGCAGGCATCAGAGATGGCTGCAATGCAGAACACTCGAGAAAAGAACAGTGTGTACAAAACTGACCATGAATAGAAGTCAACCACATAAGCGAGAGCTACCCAAGAATAACTCATATCAAAACTTAAACGTTCACAGTGAGCCAACTGCACCGACTAGGATTAGTGAAGCACTCTCCTTCATAACGTATAAAGCCTGAAATTATTCATGCAACCACAACATGAAGCTATCTTTACCAACAGATAATATTTACCACGTGGGCTGAGCAAAGCTCAGTTGTAAGATTCTGGCTGTTACGGTCTAACAGATTTTTATTCAGTATGTCTTTAGAAATTTTTTTTTCTTTCTTTACATTTACCTGTTTCATGGTGGACCAGAAATGTTCAATTTCTCTAGCAGTAAAAGCAGCAACAGCCCTCAGTTGCTTCTCTTCTCTTTTCTTGCATGTTTCTTTATGATGTATCATATCCTTGTGACAATGAGCCACACTTAAAATCAGCTGAACAAAACCGTAAAATTATTTTAACTTTTCACTTTGTTCTATCTAACAAGCGTATTTCTAACGAAAGAAGAAAAAAATGCAATCCCTTTAGGAGTAGTGCCCAAACTTTACAAACACAGTGGAAAGGCAGACCAAAACTCACGCATCCTCAGCAATCACATCCTAACCATGAAAATGCTGCCTATTCTTCCCCCTTTTCCTGGTTGGAAATATCAAATTCACATTACCCTCTTGGCAGTTATCATCTTCCATCTTCTTTCTTGAACAAAATCAGTTGCCATCCACTGCATTTCTTCCAGAAGATAATCACGGTGTGATTTATGCCGGGGGGCCTCTTGGAGTTTGGGCAGACGTTTCAGAGACCATAAACCTTTTTTCCTCAGTGCTATTATCTGCTGCAGAATCTCATTTTCCTTCAAGTAAACATAATGAAACTTATGTTTCCTACTGCACAACATAAAAACAAGACAGAGACGCTGTGAAAAAATGTTACATGAATAACCAACAGAAATGATTATTCAGTCCTTGGAAACATGCTACGCTGTTTGAAGTTGCACTTTATTAAAGGATAATGAATAAAACATCTTGTGCAGATTTATTTAAAGTCTTTGAAGGACTTTGCGATGCAGCAGTATTATGTAAAATCAATAGAGAAGTTTGGGATGCAGTGGTACTCAGTCTTTCCTCCTAAAAATATAGTACCCCTAGATCTCATCAGAAGAGCAGGGCTGATTCAGTGAGAATTTTCACAGAAATTAAATGCTCTGCCAGATGGACAGAATTCTCTAAAAAAATACAGTTGCTTCCTGCAACTGCTGGCAAGGAAGCACAAGCAGCACATTGTGATTTCTCCTCCCCTTATTCTAAATATGCTGCATAAATAGTTAAAATAATTGATTCTGGTTAATTAAATCTCCTTCTAGGATTTCATTACAAGAATAAATTCTACTTCCCTAGAGAACCTGCCCGATTCCTCCTCATTCTCTTTCTTTCTTCAAGAAAAATTATATGGCATGTCTGCATCACTAATTAAAACCAAGAGAGATACAATTATCCACAGAGCATTCAAAATTTAAATGAAGATGAAGTTTTATTGTAAAGAAAGATTTTCACCCAGCTGTGCTACAAAATGGCTCTCTATTAGTGCTTGAAATGATTTGTTCCTTTCTCCCCAGGTTGGAGTAAAAAATTCTGTCATCCATGAAGTGTCAATACAAAACACAAAGGACAACAGTGCCAGGACACAGTGAGAGGTTAGCATGCTGTTCCCTCTTGCTGCACCTTGTAACTTACCTGCAACCTTCCACACACGTCTGAAATTTACTTTGAAGAATGAAATGAATTTGATTCAGTGAAAATCCAGCACAAGAATATTTAAACTGAGAGTTGGGCAGCCATCACAAATGACATAAATGAACAGGTATGTTCTTCACAGAAGTAAAGTTTCAAGAGAAAGTAGTGGTAAAGTGCTAAAAAAATCAATCTTGTCGAGACTTCATTAACAAGGAAGATGTTACCACTTTGTTTCTGAGGACACTCTCTCCCCAGTATTCCGACCGACCATTTAATGGTGCAGAATAGATGACAACAGCAATTACAATACACAGAAAACAGACGTTCAAAACCGTATACAATATAATATGTAAATCTGATACCTGTTGCCATAGGGGAACTGGAGCCGGGACCAAAATCAGCTGCTGCTTATCACAGCCCGCTGGTTGTACTTGCTGAAGAAAAGCTGGGTTCCTGCTGTGTGGAGCAGGAAAGGAACTATGCAAACTTGACAAGTTCGGTCCATTTTGCTGTTGGCTTTGCTCCTGGCTAATCTGTTGAGCCACTTGAGGAACAGAGGACATTCCACCTGCAGAGAAGCTTTTAAAAATTGCAATTCCAGTAATTAAAATAGTCCAGTATAAAAAAAAAACAAAGTGGCAATACAGACTGCTACATAGTTGGTCAATTCAACTTTCTACCATACCACAATACAATTGCATACCTAGAGGCTACGAAGATGAAAATCAATCAGCGTGCTAGTCTAGAACGTACTTATCCCCTCTTTAACCTGACAACACAAAGATCTTTTTTAACAACATCCTACAGAGAGGTGACAGCTAGGCAACCAGTCTCTATCAGGGTATCGAGTGACCAAAAAGGAAAAATTTCATGCAACAACATCAATTAAAGAAAACAACAAATTAGGCACAGAGGGTACACATTTAAGCCCAATGCATGGAAAATGAGATGTGTAGTGCTCACTAAGACTTCTGTTTTTCTCCAGAGGGTTTTTAAATCATATAATAATTGGTATTAGATATAATGTTACAATTACAGAAAATCTCATTAAAGCAATTATCTTTAATTACAAAGCTTAAAACTTACATTTGGTAGTAAATACTTTATCATAAATCATTAATATATGTACTAGATGTACCAGCATTATTTTAAAGGTCACAAGATTTTTCTTTTTAAACTGTTATCAAAACTAATTATGAGTCTTTGTGTGAAGTACTGTTTTGGAACAAAAGTTAACCTAATAAAGTATCTCATTATCAATAAAACAATGCATCGGTCTACCACTTCCAAAGCTCTATCCACATTTATCTTTGATTTCACTTTTACATTCTCTTTATTTTGCTACAAAATGGTTTTTATGAGCACAGAATTGCTTCCTGCCTAACTTTTATGACGAGAGTTCATCGTGGCCATTGACCTTTTAACTCAATTTAACCACTCGAATTCTTTCTCATTCCAGTAGATTTATCCAGTTATGTTACACCTAGCAGTCAGACGCAGGGTTCCTGCAGCACATACCGAGTCTTGGCTGGGCACACTTGTGCTCTGAAGACACCACAGGGCAGGCGACGGGCGCTTTCCCCAGCAGACGGGCTCACGACGACCAACGCCGCAGAGCGAGGCCGGTGCTCTCAGACACCATCATGCCCTGGGAACGACGGAGGCTGTGACAACAGCACGATGCCTGGTGTCACTCATGCGATTCCCAGACCTCTCGTTTCATCAAGCGCTGCTGCTTGAGGGACAGAATGATTTATCCTGTAAGTATGTTACAGCCACCTACGCCATTAATACAAACCCAAGCGGGGCTTGAACGCTGCCATGAAAACGTTGTAACGTCTGCAGCACCACTGGCCAGGCTGCAAAGAAGCTTTACCGCAAAGATGAAGTTATCTGAAGGTACGAGGGCAACGCATTATCAAACCTGCCCCGCTAAGACACGCCAG